TATTTCGTACCTATAAGTAGTCCTTGCAAGTCCTGCATGAGGAAGGGCACTATTGATAACCATGAAGCTTGCTTGGCTAGAAATCCCAGTTGAACCTGCGGCCATGCCGCGCTTTTACTCTTTAGTCTCATGTGGATGATGTAATAGCCGACGGATAAAGGTTGCTATAGTAACTGCGCCATTAAGTTAGGGTTTTATTAATTAACTTATGCTTTGCTAGGTCTTCTATATTATATTGCTGTACCGCGTACAGGTAGTCCTTTCTTTAGTATATAGTTTATATCGCTATATTATGATCTTATGGTGACGCCTAAATTAAACTACTTAATTCAATCTATTGACGAAAAATTGAATGTATACTCAAAGCTCTCGAGGCTGACCATTGACTGAACTACTGACCTTTAAATTTCTACATTATCCATGATGGACACTTGTTGATTACTTAAGTATGTGGGCTCTCTCTGCATAAGGTAGATGCACCGTAAGTGTCCACCAAAATGGGTAATAGCCTTAAATATCCTTTAATTGTAACTCTGAATTATTAATATATACGTTAAAATACCTATACAGAACAGAAAAAAGATACTAAAGTTCATATACAATCATCTTAGCAGGATTCTATAAAATGCCTTTAGAAGGTGTATTTGCATAAACCTTGTTATGAGCTGCGGTTCTCGTTTGCAAAAATTAATTTAAGGACATATTTCTACTATCGTATTTTTGTTGATAAGAAATATTCTTCATTCTGTTCTATTCAGTCTTGGTAACCCTAAAATCCTAATCAAAAACTAAATATCCGTGCCAATCAATTATTGTAATACCGCTACTTTATGTAGCATATGAATATAATGCACTTTATTCCTATACGATTTTTTAGTGGGTTACTTCTCATTCTACCTTCGACTCGAATCATGTCCCAAACCGTAAAGTGAGACAACTAAATATTGGTAAAGGGCTACAATTAGAGGTAAATTTATGTTATTTTTAAATAAAATTAGGTTTCTTTGCAATGACTTATACATAGTCATAAGACCTTATGAAATTAAAACAGCTCTAATTTGTATTAGTTTATTAAACACGAGTTTAAGATTAACCTACGAGTATCTTCCCTACCGAATTTCTATGTCTTGTTAGCTTAGTAAGCCGTCAATCATGCTTATAATGTTGTCATTTCGTTGTGGACAGGAATAAAATGTTAAAAACTTAATAATTTTCACATCAGCAGATTCTTACACAAAACGTGATTGTGATGGCGAAGCTGAAAAATTGAAATCAATCACATTGAGCATTGCTAA